GATCTCTGCTTGTGGAGGATGGGAAGCTCAAATTGTTCTGAATCTAAAGATTTTCGTCGCAGCCATATAACCGCGGCTTCACATGTTGGACTGAAAGTTACCAGCGACAGCCCGCAAGTAGCGCTAGTTCAATGTAGTTCTAGTCTTGGTCTGCTTCTCGGCATGACTTGAGCGTGCTGGGCGGAGCTATAGATAAATTCGTTGACTTTTACCACGCCTGTGCTTGGAAGTAGGGATTGCTTGCATACGAGCGCCTTATTGTCTTGGAACGGTGACTCCATGCACCAAGCCAAGCAGGCAATTTGGCCAGACTGCAGTAAACGAGCCCTGCAAAGAAACAGCACAATAATCAGCATTGTGGGAAAAGATTCAAGGATTTTGAATATTGTACAGCCTGACAGAACTTGTCAAGATATCACGGGCACCAACTTCGGATACCTGGCCGCAAGGGGCAGGCCGTTACAACTCCCGTCAGCGAATCCTGCGTATTGTGTGTCTTAGTTCCTTGCAGTGGCCAACCCACGCCCTTCAAGGCTGGCAGGGTCTGAGCAAGAACACTAACGGAACGAGGCCTTGCTGCCTGGGTCCTGGCCTCCCTTCGTCTCCTTTACCGAACACAGAAGTTGAAAGATGACTCAAACATCGAGGAGCACCAAAAATGGCAGCCCGGGAAGCCCATTACCAAATCCAGGCTCCAAATTCCTCAGCCTGCAACTTGGCTGGTTCTTACCGGACCTTCACTACGCGTCCCTGAGATGCTTTGCTGGGTGGACCCCCCAACCTGCAGAGCCCTAATCCTAAGCCCTCCGAACCTTCCTTTAAAACAGCAACTGCGATGCAGCTGCCTTCAGCTTGTTTCGCCTCTCCCAGTCGCCTGGGGGCTGTTTGATTGTGGAGATTCTATGGATATGCACGCTTTGACAGCGTCAATTTCTGCATCGCCAAGTAGACCCCACGTCCGAGGCTGCAAGTTAACAGGTGATGCTGAGAGCATGCTTCATACCTAGCTGCCATTTCCTTGGCTTGATCCCATGCGTTTGAGCAGAAGAAACTTGAGATGCATGTCAACACATCGCCAAATGTCGCAAAACCTCTTGGCAAGAATCAAAGAACGCCACACACCACCCCAAACACAGGATTTCTCAGCTCTGCAAGTAGCGCAAAAAGCACAGCAGCAGTCCTTGAGAAAGCCTATTTTGTGTCCCATGCAAAAACTCGAGCGCAGGAAGTGCGACTTAGTTTTCTGGGCTTGAGGGTAAACAAACCGCTAAGAAAACTACGACGCCAACCCGGAAAGGACCCTACCCAACAGCAAAACAACCCCAAACCTACGCTCAGCACCCCAAATGGCCAAAGTGAAAAAACTCAGACCTAACTCCTGAACCCCAACCTCCTAAACTGCTAAACCCTAACGGCTGAACGGCGAGAAAACATTGATCTTCCCGGTCCAGCCTCCTTTCCCCAGCTCTGTCTTGGCACGATCAATGTGCTTCTTCATCAGGGCCTCGTGTGGATATTGATATGGCCAATGGGGTCTAGGCGTAGGGTCAATGGTTTAGCGTTTTGGGGCTAAGGGTTGAGGCCTTCGGTTTAGGAATTGACTGTGGAGGGTTAAGGAACCCCTGTGCATCCCAAGAATCATACAATCAATTAGTCTTCAGTGTTTTGAGCAGAGGCCTTCGTGAGCTTCACGCATGAAGCCCCAGCCTGCTTGACAGAATGCGCAAAGCACTCCCATACCGAGCCCTGGGTGATAATGCAACCCCAATAGAATGTAGAAAGGCCATGAGAGACTCGGACGACTTCATCAAGATTCGAAGCTTAGGCGGGCTAGCTAATTTCATGATATGGGATGCAGGCATCAACATCTTTTCAAGCGCGGGGCTAGTATTTAGGAGTCATGGAGCTGCTACTTCAAAGTTCATGCTTCGGACGACTGCGGCTATACAAGAAAAGTGTCTATGCTTATCAAGAATAAGCGAAAACCAGACACGTCTACTTATGACTCCACTTGTGGCTATAATGTTGACTTCGCATTAATAAAGTACTTGAATGATCTATCTCCGTCCCGG